ATAAAAACCAAAAAACACCCTCATAAACCCAACCCCTTGACATACGCTATACATGTGACGCTTTTTATTTGGCAGAACCGACAAAAGACAATCCCTTAATGAGCATATCAACAACTCTACGCGTATTTCTTTTTCTCTGTGGGAACAAATTTAATTTCGTTTGTCTGTGCATTAAATTTATTCGAGAGCAATTGAGTGCGACAGAAGCTGGGAAAAAATGTGCACACACATATGTATATGGGTATTAATCCATCCATCCGACTGAGTTGTCCTGGCATGTGTTTAATTTTGTGCATTTTTGTTTTTGTTTTGTTTTTTGGCTGTAGATTTCTCAAACGCTAAACGGTTGACATAATGAAAATGTAAATTACAGCAGAGTTATGGACTCATTTTGGAGCCCCTATACAACTGCTCCCTAGGCCTGTGAGTTGACTTTATGGGCGCATAAAGTTCGCCTGTTGCCACATGCGACGACGCGACGCGTCGTGTCGTTCCCCAACCTTCCACCTCATCTCATTAGAGAGAACTTTGGCCAGCAAACAGTTGAATCTAAATAGATTCCAACTTAAATTGCATGCGCACAGGCACAGCTGAGCATGGGATGGGATGGATGTGTTTAGGTCTGGCTCTGACTTACCAAATCCACAAAGAAAGGAAATAAAAATACACAAAACAAAGGCGCAAGTTAAGTATTACGACTATGGGATTACCATTACTTTCATTTTTTATTCAATTTATATATATTTTCTGCAAATTTAATTAATTATATTTATTTGACAGTGTTATATATTTACATTAAACATAAAAAAGACTTTTGAGTACATGTTTATATAATTCAAAGTGAATTCTATTTTATTTCACTCTCTACAATTCTCTGTCTCTATCCCTTTTTCTGCCTGTGACATACAACCACATACCCTGCTTAAAGAAATAACAAAAAAGAAACGCGTTCTTATTCTAGTATTTCTGTTCGAGATTATTTGTCATTTGCTTATCAGCGCACTTCCGCATCATTAAATAATTTTATCATTTGCATTATTTTCACTTTCCTAAGCACAGAGATGATAGCATAGCAATGCCCACGTTGATGCTGGTGATGAAGCTGCTCTGGTGGTTGGTTGAAGGTTACAAAAGTTCCCTCAGATGTTGGGCTGAACGGCGGGGCGGGGCGTGGCATGGCGGCTGGTCGCAGGCTGATTTAACTAATTTGTAATTTATGCGACACTTCTTGCGGTTAAGTTGCGAACAAAAACTTGACGAGAAATCTTCATTTAATTAACTCGGAAAAATGCCAAACAATTTTGAATCGTTTTTTTTTGTATTAAATGGAAAAAGTTATTAAAGCGCAAAACTTAAAAACTTATGAATTGAAATTTAAATAAGGGAAAAATGCTGGATTTAAATTTTTACTGCAGCCTGTGTGAGGCTTTCGAAATATAAATTTGAGGGCGCTACTTAAATTTTAGTGCAGTTTGTAAGGCTCTCCAAAGATGTAAATCTCAGACATATATTCCAACAGAAGGGAAGCCCAAAACTGGGTTCACTTTAGTTACATTACAAACCCATTAAAGTTGCTACTGGGAACAACAAATGCAGGCACGTGAAGAGCGGGGCAGAGCAGTGCAGGGCAAGGCAATGCAAATGCAAAATGCCAAAAGACATGAGAGAGGAGCTGGGTGCTGGGTGATGGGAGGCCATGCAACAAACGATAATGAGGACAAACAGCAGCAACAGCAGCAGCAACAACTGCCACTTGCAGCCACAATGATAATGTTGCTGGCTGTTGATGACAACAACAACTTGCAACAGCAACAACAAGCAGAGAAGAGTAGCTTACGAGGCGACGCTTTAGGTACACTTGCAGGATCATTTTTACCTTCTATAACAGATATTTTGTGTGGCTTTTTGCACCAGATACATGGATGGAATCTTGGATATAAGATTTCTATTTAACTCAGTTATCCCGTATATCTTAGTATATACTTTATAAGGTAAAATATTATGCCATTGCAAGCCTTAGTGAAAACCCCCTTCTAGGGTATAACAACCCACGGAAATCAGCCAAAGAATGCACGCTGCAGACCAGCCTGTTCCCTGCACCGCCCCCCCCCCCTATAAGTTCGCGTCCAACAAAAAAAAAAAAGCAAAAGGAAAATCTAAACGCTGTGTGTTCGCTGCCTTTCCTTCTCCCCCCATTTTTCTCTGCCTGCCGCTGCTCATTTTCGCTACTAAATAAGACAGGCTCGACTCGTCCTCGAACAACATTTTGACATTTCTTCTTCTGGTGCAGTATTTTTTTATACCCGTACTCAAAAAAGAGTTAAGGGGTATATTAGATTTGTGGTAAAAGTGGATGTGTGTAACGCAGAGAAGGAAACGTTTCCGACCCCATAAAGTATATATATTCTTGATCAGCATCAATAGCCGAGTCGATATAGCCATGTCTGTCTGTCCGTCTGTCTGTCTGTCTGTCTGTCTGTCTGTCTGTCTGTCTGTCTGTCTCGATGAGCGCCTAGATCTCAGAAACTATAAGAGCTAGGGCAACCAAATTTGGTTTCCAGACTCATGTGATATCCCACTGCTACAAGTGTATTTCAGAATTTCGCCCCGCCCCCTTCCGCCCCCACAAAGGACGAAAATCTGTGGCAGGCACAATTTTAAAGATACGATAAAACTAAAAACGCAGTATCGTAGAGAATGCCCATATCTACCAGACTGCCGAATCTGAATCAGATCGGATCATAATTATAGCCAGAATGACGAAATTAATTTTCAGTTGCTTCCCCTGCCCTCCCTCCAACAAACGACAACGAAACTCATTTTCCTTCTCGCTCGCACACTCTACCGCGTTCAGTGCGCGAGCAACCCCTAGCGGAAAAGATGTAGAATATGAATAGTACATCTATAATCTACATGTTAGATAAAAAATATAGTCGAAATTAATTTTCAGTTGCTTCCCCTCCCCCTTCCGCCCACGACAACACAACTCATTTTCCTTCTCGCTCGCACACTCTGCCGCGTTCAGTGCGCGAGCAACCCCTAGCGGAGTAGATGTAGAATATGAATGGAACATGTACAATCTACATGTTAGATGTATAATAGACATTTTATATGTAGATGTAGATAGCATATGTAGCAAAAAAATGTAAAATGTAAAATTTTTTTTTTTTTTTCTAAAATTCTAAAAAATCATAAGCTCAAAAGTGTATGTACAGTGGTGCTCATAGACTTAAGCCACTGCCACTACCATAAACTGTTTTCTTAATAACTTTTTTGAACATATTTATTTCGGCCTGAAATTTTTACATTTTGCAACACTGTTATTTAAGCAGTATATACTGACTGAGTACGGGTATAAGTAGAGTCGTGTCCCCAGAAACGACTCACACGTTCCTTCTCGTTTCCTTCTAGTTTTTTCCACACAAATTTTGCATTTTTTGTGCCGTAACGATAGAGGAAAGAGAGAGAGAAAGATGGGAAAAAATGCATAAAGCAAACTGTTTTTCAACCCACTCTGATACCATTTTGAAGGCGTGTTAAGAGGCAGCAAAGGAGCAACATGGAAATATGGCAACCCTTGAATTGTTGAAAAACCAGTAAGACTGCTTACTGCCAGAGTACGCCAAAGTTAATATCCTTGATGATCGAAAAGCAATAAATCGATTAGGCAATAATCCTTGACCCTTTGGCATATTTAATACGATTTTCGTTTAAGTGTTTCATGATTCACGTTTCACAGAAATCAACTTTGGCAGTGCATAATGGCAGCCAACTAGGGCAAGTGTACCCTAGCAGCCAGGCCTAATTGATTAATATCAGCCATCTTTTGAATTATTTTTCACTGAAAAACTGTTTTCAAAGTTTTATTACTATCTTGCAATATCTGAGTATATGTACTTACTTTCACTGGGTATCCTATTTCAATTAGTGCTCTCCATTTAATTTATTCGTTTGCCATTAGTCTACCTTTTCATCCACACACGAGTATGTATTACCCTCCACCACCGTCTGCTAGAAACTCTCTAGTTTTATATGCATATATTTTGCCACTTAAACCGCTCTGCCATCACAACAATTACTCATAATTTGTTGGATGTGTGTACTTCCAACCCATTATATCCATTCCATCCCATGCTATGCATCCCATGGCCCCCATCCCAAGTGAACCAACAAATGCCCGGCCAAGTATGCTCTACAATTTGGATGCTGATGCTGCCGGGGATGTGATGTTGTTGTTTGCTTACTCATGTGCATAACGTCACAGTTTTTCACGATTTTCTTTTCGAGAGTGGTATGTGTGTGTGTGTGTGTGTGTGTGTTTTGGATGGGTGTTTCTTGCGTGTGGCTGACTTTTGTGAAAATTAATAAGTTCTCAGGCCCTCCGACCACCACACCGAAATCTGCCAATGCCAAGCAAAACTTCTGCAGTTGATGGCCAAATAATTTGTCCTCCTAATGCCCGGACAGCCCCTCCTGTTTTTGTGTGTTATTTCCAAATCGTTAGATATTAAACAAACTTTTCCTGGCTCTTGCCTCGCCCTTCTTTCATTTTGAGTTCTCTGTTTAGGTAGATTTATTATACATTTTGAGTGGCTGACATTTAAACTTGCCTGCGAATTTTTCCGGAGTAAATCGTGCATGCAGCTTGCACAAGAATGGAGAAAATACCACGCATGGGAAAACCATTTCCCAGATTGGATTTTTTTTTCAATTGTATATGTACATACATATATGCCAGTCTGTGTGCTACACATATTAATTTGCTGACATATGTGCGAGTATATTGGCACAGGAATAGTGACGGGAGAAACACTTATTTTGTGGAGGGATATAATTTAAAAAAAATTGAAGAAATACACAAAACATACGCGATTATTTCAGCGGTTTTTAGCGTTTATAGATCAATAAATAAAGCAACAAACTTGACTAATGTCTCCCCGGCTGGGATGCAAAAATATGTATTTAATCCAATAAATTTGTTAAACATTTTTACATTTCTGCTGACACAATCTGACGAAATCAAGGCATAAATGTTCTGAAGCGGATTACTGCAAATATATATATTAATTTTAATATATTAATTATATTATCAACATGGATTTACTCACCAAAGCTTATTTTTCGGATGTGTTCGATGATATATTTATATGTTTTATTGCTTCGAATGAAGTTACAGCGTTTTCATGGCCGAGACCTGTGCTGGATCTATACCCGCAGCTGGATCCACGGCTGGACCTGCATTGGGGATCACTGCAAATATATATATTAATTTTAATTATATTATTAATATATAATTTACTCACCTGAGCTTATTTTTTACATTTTAGATATTTTTGGTGATAAATGGAGATGTTTTTTTTGATTCCACTGAAATTATAGTTATAGTTTTTGCATGGCAGATTTTGGCAAGGTTTCATTTTCATTGTCAGATTCGGAGCTTGAATAATAACTTGATCCAGAACTTGACCCAGAGGAACTTGATCGAGAGCTTGACGCAGAGCTTGATCTATAGCTTGATCCAGAGCTGGAGTCAGAGTCTGAACCAGAGCGGGACCCAGGGGAACTGCCCCTGCTGCGATGACCAGCCTGCGCCTTCGATTTGGGGCTTCTCTTCAGTGCTTCATCAATTTGCTTCACGCGCAGTCGCATCTCATGTTGAACACGTTCGGCGGCGCTTGGTGAGAGAGCAACCCTAGACTTCGAACCAGAACAAGACCAAGAATTATAGGAGCTATACTGCGAGTCGAAGGAAGACTTGGTGTCTTTAAAATCCTTCGACTTGCGTTGTTCTTTCAACGATTTCTGTTCTTGCCTCTGGAGCAATGCTTGCTTTTGGCAAGCCTTTTCTATGAGACGTTGACGCTTATTCTGGGATGATTCCGGCGGATCGCATGGCACGTCCTTCTGGTACCTTTTCGACGGTGAGGCAAATATTTTCGGTGGACTTATGTCCTCAAGGCGAGGATAGCAGCCGCTCTTAGTCATCAAGGACAGTGTGTCCGTCAGAGGTGTGATGCGAGCTTTGCGTAGCGCTGCTTCCAGTTCAGCCACATCGGTGTCAAGGGTCCATTCGGTCGAGTGTTTAAGTCCTTGCCGGAAAGCGGCCTCCAGGAGCAGCGCTTCCTTCATGATGGCAACCGTTTCGGGCGCAAACGAACGGATTGGAAAATCCAATCTCCTGAAATTTTCTGGTAACTGTACACCATTCGATTCCATAATCAGTTCGATATAATAGTGTGGAATCTTGATATATTTCACCAGATGATCCCATTCTTGGCAGTTGATTTCGTGCTGCGCCACGGAGATCTCTTCATCCCACTCATCGTCGAAATCATCCACTGGCCTTAGGAGTTCGTCCAGCTCGCTTTGGCTCAGGATATCAGTATATTTGACCATTCTCTTTTTTGGAGTCCTTTTTGTGTCCTGCTGCTGCTGCTGCTGTCCCTTTGGTAATTCTTCAATAATCTGCTGCTGCTGCTGCTGCACCGCAGGCAATTTTTTATTTGACTTTTCCGCCATCTTGCCACAAAGCTAGAAAATTTATTTTAGAACACAAAATATTGCTTCTAGTTTAAAAGTTGTCAACTATTTTAGGAATTAAATTGTTGTGCTTACAATATTTTCACTTTAACTGCCGGACTTGGAATGAGCACAAATAAATGTATTTTTTTTTCCTTTGTCAGTTGTTGTTCCAGTGACACGTAATGACTGTCGATTTTGGTGCAACATGACAGCGCACTTGCACCTTTGGCAGATACCAATAGGGTCGATGAATTTTACAGCCCGTTTACACTGAGGCTGCGTCATGCTTCTTTGCGTCTTGGTGGAAACGCAGTTTTCTTTTTTATATAGCTTTTGTCTACGCAACAAAATTATATTTGTAAATCAGCTGTTTTTTGTTGACATGGCAGAAGGAGGCGAAGCAGAAAAGCGCAAAATTAATCGAATATTCCTAATCTTATGCCAATAAAAAAAAAAAAACTGCGCTTTCGGCAAAACGGAATTATGCAATTGTAGTGTAAAAAGGCTGTACAAAAATTACAACAAATCAATATTATGCTTTGAATAAAAGGAGAAAATCTGCAAAAGCAAATTGCTCCTATAAAATCCCAACAAGAATTATCGATTGCATTAATTTGACAACCCTGTAAAAAATTCTCACGGCGCTGAAAAGCAAGCGTGGTTTGTTTAGTCAAACGAACGTCTTAAATCTTAGTCAAACGCTTAAAAATACTTAAATTCCGTGCAACACAACTCCCGTGAGCTGTACGAAAGATCAATCAAGCAGGAGCGGCGACAGGAGATCAGCGCGCACGCCACGCACACACAGTTGAGTTATTGCAGTCACACTGGGCTTAAATAAATCTTAAATCACAAAATTGAATAGCAATATGGCGGACAGGAACGCCAGCGACACCATCATCAGGCTGAGCGACGAGCGGCAGCTTATTGAGTGGACGAAAAACCAACATTTCACAGCACGATTCGTGTGCCACATTGTTCGACCCAACAACCAGCAGTGCCGCCAATTGGAGAAGCATCTAAAGATACTGGCCGCCAAGCATCCGGAGGCCAAGTTCTGTGCACTGAACGCCGACAAGGCACCAAATATTCTGGCGCGCCTCAGCGAATACGAGCGAAATGATGTGCCCCAGATTGTGGTGCTGCACGGCGGTTGGGCGGAGGATGTTATATTCGGCTACGCGGAGCTACAAAACAGTGACGGCTTCTGCACGGAGTTGATCGAGCAGCGCATCGCCGAATCCGGGGCCATTGAGTGTCGAATGCAGCCCAACCAGCTGGACCGAAGCGATCCACAGCGTTGGATGACGCCAAAGCGGCGACGACATGACACCACATAGGCTCATCAGGCTGTGGTGCCACACAAAGCCACAAAATCCAATTAATTCCTAAACTTGCAGCTAGAGAATCAAACCACACACGCGGCACCGAAATGCATATTTAAATGTTTAGCAAACAAAACAATTGAAAAGAGTTTGTATATTCCGCTTCTTGGATGTGTAAATAAAGAGCCGCGCATTGGTGGGATTCTCTCTAGTTGCTGCAACTGCAAATGCAAAACTATTAAAGTGGTTCGGTGCCATCAGTTTCTGCTGTTGCAGCTGCCTCTTGGATACTCCAAGCATTAGGTAATTAAAATTTATAAACACTTAAACAATAAAAAAAAATATATATATATATATTTTAACGCTCCAACAGGCTCTTGTACTCCAGCAGTATTTGCTCCTCCTGATCCAATGGCAAGTCCAAATACACAATGGAGTTGTCAGTCACATCCTCGTTGAAGCGTTCAAAGGCTCGGTGCGACTCCATCTCGCTCTTGGCCTGCTTGATGATCGTGTGGATGAGTGCTGGCGATGCAGCGTGTGAGCCCGACGGACCCTCGTAGTCCAACAGGCGCGTCATCGCTTCGATGGTGCTGAGTAATTCCTTTTCGGTGTTCAAGCTGCTCACTAGGAACTGTATGGCCGCCTCCATGTTGTTGCCGGTTGTCTCCAGAGCAGCCCGTGCGGTGACCGATGGAAAGCCGAGCTGTTGGAGCGTCCTGAGGTGTGTCTCGTCCGCTGGAGTGGTCGCCGGCAGATTGGCACGCAGCTCGTCTGCCTCATGCTGCAGCAGATCGATGCTGCGATCGAGATTGTTTTTGGTGCGCTTCAGTGCCTCCACGACGAGCTGTTGCTCATAGCCCATGTCCATCAGACGCAAGACGGTCTTGGGGCAGACCCAGCCCTCGCGATTCGCAATTTCCTGACTGACCTTGCGCAGCTGAAGCGACTTGTTGCGTGCCTCTTGCAGCTTCTCGTTGCGTTCGCTAATGAAATCGACGGCACGATCTAGGTGGCCGGCGGTGGCACGCAGCGACACCCTGGCATCCGATTCGTTGTATCCCATGTTGAGCATCTGCTGCAGCAGGTCGGGGCTGACCTTCAGCTCGGCCAGCACAGCGCCCGCCGACTCCAGGCGCTCGTAGGCCTCGTCGCGGCGATTCATATGGAAGCAGACAACGCCCTGCAGCAGGTGCAGGCGCATGATCAGTGCCCGTTCCGGACAGTTGTCCTCCTCGAAGCTATCGAGATTATCGCCGTAGGTGCGACGAAAGTTCTTCTCGCAAATTTCCAAACGGCGCTGCGCATCCGGCAGTTCGGTGATGTTCTTCAGGCACAAATAGCACCACACAATGTCGAGATTGATCAGCGCATAATTGTCCACCCGCTCCAGTAGGATGGCACTGCACCCAGCGAAGTATTCGTCACCCTCCAGCAGGAGCAACAGCGCCTCGTCGTACTCCTGCCGGAACATGGCGGCCCTGGCCTTCTCACTGAAACTCAGGGCCTTGAGCAGCGAACGGGTCTCTGCTGGCGGCAGAAAGATGGGATTTCCGTGCTGGTCCTCAATCTCCATGAAGCGGCGATCCGACTCCACAATCAACAACACATCGTCGCGTATCTTTTGGATGCGCTCGTGCAGCGCCTCGCCGGCCACCTCATCGCCCCGCTGTCCCAGCACCACCATCAGCTGTTGATTGTTCTTCAGGCCCTGCGAGGCGAGCGACTGCTGGCCGGCGATAATGCGACCAGCCGATATGATCTTGATGTGGCTGCCACCGCTCACCATCAGCCGCTGGGCCACCTTGTCCTGCAGCTCCGCACCCGTGCCGTTCATCGGGCACTTGATCTCCATCAGCTGGGACGTGCCGCCACGGCTCTCCACGCAACGCACATTGAAGGTGGCCATGCCCGTCTCGTTGAACTCTCGGATGGCGGCCAGCTTGCGCAGCGCCCCATCCTGCATCTCGGCCAGGGCGCACTGGCAATCGGACACACTGATGTCCAGCTCGGTGCTCAACTCACGTGAGAGGCGCTCCAATGCGGTCGCGATGCTGCCCAAGCCCTCAGTGTAGTAGGGCTCCTCCCACAGCTTGATGTTGCGCTCCCGCAGAAGTTCACGCACCTTGATGAGATTATTGTCGATGTGAGACATTTTTGTAGGCGCAAAATTGTGTGTAGATTTAACTGGGAAGTAAAGGAATAATCCAGAGATACTAAGCCAAAAATACTAGGAGTTCTAGCTACCAGTAAATTTAACTTTCCAAACAAAACACAAACCTCCCCTGCGGTTTGCTGTGGCAATTATCACACCACAGCTCCATCCAGCTGAGTCGAGGCTTAGGGCAAATTAAAAGCAATAAACCGCAGACCAAAAAAAGAAGTGACCCGCGTCCCAGCCAAATACGAAGTGCACACAATCAAATCGCTGACAGAGGGGGGCACGAACACAATAACCAACAAAAGGGAGTGCAACCAACAACAACAAAAAATTGCTGCCATTGTCAGCTTAACGGCTGACTCCGTGTGGCTGACAATGTGGCTAATAAATGGTAACGTGTGGTTAAGGGTTAATAACTCCCACAAAGTCAGCGAGAAATAAGAGAAGAAAAAAAAGAGAGCAAGGCCAAGACATTTTATAGATACAAACCAAAGTGCGAGTGCGAGTGCGAGTATCTGTGGCACGGAGGAAGTGTGGCTGCTAATGAAAAGTGCCACAAATGGCTGTCCTATCAATTGGTCGGCGGGGCGGATGGAGGGGGACTTAGTTGAGGTCTTCTGGTCTTGTTCAGGAGGGGATGTAAGTGTCTGTCCGTAATAAAGTAGTCCCTGTCTCTGTGGGTCGCTTTGGGTTGATTTTCCCCGCATGGCTTTAGATCTTTAATTTGGTTTATCATAGAGAAAAGAGAAGCGGAAACTGGAAAAGCGGAAATGTCGGGCAGATAAGCTGATAGATTAAGTTCAAAATCCATATCCAAATGGATCATCAATTGAAGCGAATTAAATCAATTTTTGCTGCTACGCTTAGCGCACATTTTCATGTTTTGAGAACTTCCAAAGCAAGTATTAGCTGCCAATCAAGACAAAACACGGCAAGAACTACGATGTACTCCAGAAATATTTTGCAGCTGTCTTTAGCTGTCGTGGCTATTGTGCTCGTCGTCAGCCCTTTGGTCGTGCTAAGTGCCCGGCTACTTTACGCTACGCATGTACTCGCAGCTTCCGTCTCTCGCATTACCCAAAGAGTTTTAACTTTCAGACAGCCTGTAAGCGATGAATGCCCAAAGAAGGTATTCAACATACAAATCTAAGCCATTTAATTGCAGGAAACTATTGGCGCCATTGTGATCAGAGACAACAACAAAACAATTGGTGGCACCCAAGTAGTGGGTGGAGTGAGAAAAACATTTGCCAATATCACACTCTTTTCGAAGCCTGACATCGGCCTTGACTGTCATGTCATTATCTTTGATTCTGCGTGAAGTTCACTGCGATTTGGTAAAGGCCAATGGCAAGCTAATTATAATATTTAAGATCAAGCTCTGCCTTTAGAACTCCTTTAACTCTACTAGGCTTAGGTTATTTATAGATACGATTACGAAAGAAATTATGCTAAATAGTTCCTCTTTTTTGACACCAAAATCGTCCATTGATTCCTTCCTTTCTTTATTTAATTTGGCATGGGATATCATAATAATAATTTTGATTCATTTTTCCTGGTCGTAAAGTGATCCAACTTTTGCGGCTGGTGTACAGAAAGATGCTTTATTGTATCAGCTTATCGTGCCTCTTCCTTTTTACAATTGTGTCCCTAAGATGTTGCCTTGAGATCCTCAACCTACTTTCCTTCGTTTCTTTCTCACATCTGGACGTGGCATAAGCTAAATGTCGAGTAAATGTTTCTGACAGCCCTGACGATGCATCGCTGACTGCCTGCCTGCATGCGACACAATGCCAGGGACAAGCCTCTTAAAAGTGCCATGTCCTGTCTTGTCCTGGGCATAAAATCAATGACATGTTGTCGGCGGCAAAGTTTTTTGGATGCACTAAGTGAGTTTCTGCCGCTCTGCCCCTTTATGTCCCGCACTAAAACTAATATGAACTGATTTGCCCTCGAGCAAGTTCCGGACAGAACACCCACCCGAAAGTTGACAAGTGACAAGTCACATTGTTGTACATTAAATTAATGAAATTATACGGCAACTTTTACAGGTCATGGATGTTAGATCTTCCTGCCACAGCTTCGATCTCCGCAGAGGTTGCAAAAGTCTGTCAAGATTTGTGGCTCATAAATATATGGGGCGCACATCATCAGGAACAGAAGGGTCTCAATGGGATGGCATTGGGTATGACGGGTGGGGGTGGGTGTGGGTGGGCACAGTCAATTGTTGGTCATCAATCTTTTAAACAAATGCGGTTCAATGCCTTTGACAGCAGCAGCAGCAGCATCTGGGGGTCGAAGGTGAAGCGAAGTGGAACAAAACGGAGAGAAGCGCAGCAGAAAAACTGATGAAAAAAAGAAGGGGAAAACCAGATAAAGATAAATGTCATGGGAGGAACCACAGATCGAATAATGGAATATCCTGTAGTGGAAGAATAACGGATAGAATAAGAGGGTCTTAAGCAGAGGGATTTTTCTTAGCTGCTAAGCTAAATCGATGATCGTAGGAAAATTTGCTGCTAGCCCATAAAATGAACAGCAAATCATAGAAATGTTGGCCATAATTCATTCACAAAAAAAACACCTTGGAAGTAGTCCTTATTCAAGTAGTCCATCAACGCCATTCGCCACTATGTATCAACTACAGGGCATAGCAGAACAATTGACAATGGCTGGAAGGGTAAAGAATTCCGTGCGGCACAGGGTCGAAGCACAAAAGGAGCAACTAAAGCGCCACGGGAGCTACCAGTACCAGTGCCAGTGCCTGTGTCGGGGGAGGGCTAGGGGGGGCTTAACCGAATACCCAACACCGAACGGAACGCAACAACCCAGCCTGGGCATGGTAAAAACCCAATGAAGTGTCGTCTGCGTCTGGATTTGATGGCCGTGCCACAGAGAGCTGGCGATGGCGACGACATATTACTTCCTTATTTGTGGGCTGTGCCCGGGACCTTTCGCCTTGTGCCTCGTGCCTCTCCTCCTCTCGCTCTTTTGTCACGCTCTGAAAAGTGAAACATTAAGCGCAGAAATCGCGTTGTTTTGTATACGTGTGTGTGTGTGTGTGTGTATCGTTCCATGTACGCATTAAAACAATGACTGGGCGCAAACATTTTTAGCGCTGGCTGACAGCGAGCCAAACATCCGTTAGATAAAAACGTCCGCTAGTCAGCCTGCTTGCCATACCCAGGCACAGGCACACGCGCACGCACACAAATTTGATTGAATCAACAGCCACGAAAAGCACAGAGGGACGGACTCGACTCCACACTCTCTTTGCTCCGCCCGTTCCTGTTACTGGGATGATAATGATAAGCGTATAAAACCATTAAGTGATTCCACTCAAATGAGCACGTTGGAATAAATGTGCAGCTTGTTTTTTGGGTTCGCTTTTTTTGTGTGCAAATTTTCATGGCGTATTTGAGAGAGGGCACATGTGTTGTTTGATATTCAAGAACACTGCATTAGATACAGGGAAATTATAAAGCCACAATATCTTAATAGTTTTTAAAACATATTTCAAACTATATGCCTGTAGGAGTATAATATTTCACAGTAAATTGTCTTTCCGTTGTCTTCGAAAGATTGAGAACCGTGTCGAATCTACACTGTAGATTGTGAAAGAGAGCGAGCAAGCTCTCTGAGCGCTAACAGTGAGCTTTAGCTGAGAACGGTCACAGTCTGTTAACGGAGAACAGTCTGTTAACGGATCACAGTCTGTTAACGGATAGCAATAATAGGCTGTTAACAGCGCTGTTGCTCTGTTGGAGCTGCTGCCTTGAACACTGCATAAAAGTCCCTTATTCCCCCATTGTTGAGTTTCCCCAAAAAATTGTTACATATCCCAATATTTTCTAATAAATCTGAACTCTAGTTTTCCGCTTTCTTTTCCGGCATGATTGAACCCACTGTGCACGTTCCCAATCCGCTAATTGAAATCCCACACAGGGAGCAAATCTCTCGGACCGGGGACCAAAAGGAAAGTGAATCTTTGAAAAAAAAAATGAAACAAAGGACAGCGTGTTTTTTCGCCAACTTTTTCACTCTGTCTCCAAAAACACGTTATGGGATGGCAGAGGAGGTGTGGCCGTAACAGTAACGATGACAGCGATGTCCTTAAATCCATGGCAGGGCACAGAGAATACGGCAGTGGGGTCCCACGAATGATAAGAGGGATGACAGTCGGACTTGGGGACGGAGTGTATATGGATGGAAAGGACACACACAGTGTCCTTTCGGGCGTTCATGTTAAATGGCCAGCAAGGTGACAATGCAGATATAATGCTCATAAGCAGACAGGACGGCAGGAAAACGACAAACGTGCCACAAGATAGCGCGACGCGACGCGGCGCGACCCGACCATTATGTCGATGATTCGGATGATGATGATGCCGATTCGAGATTGATAATGCTGCGATGCTAGCCGAAAATGTCGGACGATTCAGTACCGAATTTGTGGGTGGGAACAGGTGGGCGGTGGGCAGGCAGTTAAAATGATTTTCGCTTATCGCTCAACTTTACGCACAATATCACAGCCAGATACGAGTATGTCAGGGCAATATTAAACGATGTCGTTGCGAGTGAATTAATGATGAATGATGGAAGGAGTTCCAGCCAGCGGCAGTGGGAGTTCATGTTTACTGAACTGAAAAGAGCGGATTTCAGGATGGAATTATTTTATTTAACAATTTTATAGACAACTGGTACATTTATTTTTCGATCTACCCAATGCAAATTGCAATAATTTTTGCCGCTTTTAGGATTGTTTGTACAAACCATTTGTAACCTTGAAAGTACATGCGACAAATCGGGCAGATAAGGTGATATAACAGGTCATGCCTTTCAGTTCAAAATCCATATGCAAATGCATCATCAATTAAAGCGAATTAAATAAATTTTTGCTGCTATGCTTAGCGCACATTTTCACGTTTTAAGAACATCTGAAGCAAGTTATAGCTTTCATTCAAGACAAAACGCTGCAAGAACTACGATACGATGTACCGCAGGAAAATGGTGCAGCTGTCTTTAGCTGTCGTGGCAGTTGTGCTCGTCGTCAGCCCTTTGGTCGTCCTAAGTGACAGCGTGGTCTTTGGCAAGCAATCGCCGACTGCACGGCTACTTTACGCCACGCATATAAACGAACCTTCCAAGTTCTTTCGCATTACCGAAAGAGTTTTAACGTTCAAGCAGCATGTAAGCATGTAGTGCCCAAAGAAGGTATTCAACATAAAATCTAAGCCATTTAATTGCAGGAAAATATCAGGACTATTGGCGCCATTGTGATCGAAGACAACAACAAAACAATTGGTGGCGAGGCTTCAATTGTAGAGGGTGGAACGACCTACCCTTTTGTCACCCTCAAATTCCAATCGAGGCGTAACCGCGGCCTTGACTTTCATGTATTTATCTATGATACTGCGTAAAGTCCACATTAATTTGGTAAAGACCAATTGCACGTGAATTATAATATTTAATGTCGGATTTTTAAATATATCAAGAGATGATTCACTGCCTTTAAAACTCCTTTAACTCAACACTTACATTTATAGCTACGATTACGAAATGAATTATTCTGAGCAGTTCCGCTTTTTGTCCATTGATTGCAACGATCTACCAACTGCAAGTTGCAATAATTTTTGCCGCTTTTATCTCGTAACCGAAACAGAGTCCAATGTCATAAGTAAATCAGGGAAAACCCCCCGCAGAGTACATCCACCCACAGACATTAGTTAATTGTCAGAGTTGCTTCAGTTGCAGTTGCAGACACAAACATGCATTTGGCCAAAAGCCAGCAGCAGCAGCAAGCAAAGCAACCAGAGCAAAGACACTGAAAACATCGAGAAATGGTTACAATTTAATTAAGTTTTTTGTTCTACATAATTTGCGCAAACACTTAAAGTTTTTCCCTTGACTTGTTTTCTGGTTGGGTCTCTTTTGTGTGTCGTCCGTATTCCACCTTCACACCAAAGGCTGTCTCTGCTAATTACGCAAATGATTCAACTTTAAAATGGCGTAGCCATTTCACGCGCCCTGCGTGTGAAATTTATAAATGTCAACTGCATGGCCAGCAACCTCCTCTCCACTCTCCACTCCCACTTTTCACTTTACACTTTGTTTTGTCTGTTTAACTTTTGTTCATAGCTGGCTGACTTTTGCTGATTGTGCAGCGCTCGGAAAATACGGCAGAGTACCCAGTGGAAGGAGCAAAACCAGTACCGGCACGAACACCAACTTGAAGTCACTGTAACCTCTCTCTCTTCGCACGGAGATTGAGAGTGAGCGCCGTTACTCTGTGTGTCCCTGTTCCCTGTTCCCTGTTCCCCGTTCCCTGACTGCTCACTTGCAATTTGTTGTATTTGTTAGTTTTGAAAATTAAAAATTTTCCATTTTTACAAGAGCAAAAAGGGTGGTGCCAGTGGGCGCAGGGTGGCTGGAGGCAGCATACAGGAGATGCAGATATAATATTTCATACATGTGCAACAGTGCGTGAGCGTGTTGAAAAATGCCGCCCTCTGATGTTGCAGTGGCAGTTGCAGCTGAGGCTGAGGCTGAGAGTATCTCCTCTCTTAATGAGAGTATCTGCATATACATGAGTGGATACGCGGCCTGCGCTTGGCCATGGATGCGGATCTACTTTGCATGTCATGGTAAGGCTGTTTCCATAATGATGCAAATAATTTAGAAAAACTATTAAAAAACATTTTCCGGAAATTAATACTCAAGAATAAAATATTTTAACAAATTAAACGAGGAAAAATTCTTGCTGTTTATTCATGACGTTCTTTTTCTTCTACATAAAAAAATGTCTCATGAAAACCTGATACAAAATATATCTTCAAGATACAATATCTCTAAGTTAGAGAAATTCATTAGACATTTATTGAACTCATCTAAAAAGGAGACTATCGAAAACAAAATATCATTAAAAAATGCCAGCGATTCAAAACATTCTAAAATATTTATAATTTATTTAATATATTAAAACTATAAAATACGATAATAGAAAATATTGGACTATGTAATATGAATATGACAATATCTGAAAATAGCAAATAAAGTTCCTGTTCGAGGATCAAACAACAAGGCAGATATCAATCAATCCTTAACTTAGCCATGTCGAGTATTTTTTTTAGGATAAAATGAAGGAAAGTACGTAAACTTTTCCCATTCTACAATTCAGTTAATATCTTCTGCTAAGCTCCAAAGTTTCTCTTATATACGAGTATCCATGTTTCATTTATTCTCTATACTGATTGCACTTCACAGCAAAGATCCCCAGCGCACGACAATTTTCAATATTGAATTCTCTCAAGGTTCATTCACAATTTTTTTGCGCAGTCTCAACCTTGGGTACTTGTCAACCCGTGCCGTGGGTTCATGGCAATTTTGTTAGCAACACAACGAACCAGCTTAGAACGAGACTTAGACAGAAGCCAAGCCAAAACACATGTATCTCGTATTCGTACTCGTACAATACACACATAAAATTGCATTACAGACCCGAAAACACTGTAGACACACACACACACCTACACACACACGTTGTTAGCCTTCAACGGATTCCGGAAAACATTTGGCAGTTACTGTCAGTCAATCACCATTAAGTCCATCCCCAACACCTTATTGAATTTTATTGCAAATTGAAAAGAAAGAAAAAATTGCACCTACAACTGCAAATGCCAAGGCAAAGAGGACACACAAAAAACGGCAAAGCAAATGTCTGAGAAAAGAAAGATTCGCAGGGGAAAGGCAAATTGAAAAGAAAAATAAATAGCAATGGGGAAAAGAACCCAAGTCAGATCAGAGCAGGGATAGAGCAGGGATAGAGCACGGATAGAGCAGGGATAGAGACGATGGACTCTGAAGGGATTGAAGGGTGAAGCTTTCAATTAATTTGCATAAATGGCACAAACGATTATGTAATTTGTATTTGCCACATAAATTATCACGCAAAATGAAAATAGTTTCCAAATATGCGCCCAGACAGAATGGAATGCGGCAGCGGGGTAGGGCAGGGCGGGATGAAACGAATATGGGGGTCAGCTTATTAGAAGCGCATGAAACGGCCCATAACTATCAATAAATTACAAGAAGAGGCGTGGCACAAACTGCACCGAGGACCCCTAAATTATCGTGGAGCACAAACATGAGAGTTGCTGAAACTGAATCATGAACTGCACAGGCTGAACCAGAACTTCCTGTAATATTCCAGTTGATAGCTAAAATTAAAAACTTTCAAAAAGAACTAGGTACATATAAGTATAAGGAAATCTGTTTATCACAATATATATCAATAGAGCTATTGATTTGCACTCAATGGAAATTTTTTCAACTTTTTATGTTATATACAAAAAAATTGTTCAAAAATTGTGATCGGTGAACTTATTTTGAGAGCATATTCTATCAAATAAATTTAGTCTTAAAATAGATATTTTTAATAGGCATAGCGTATCAATAAATATTATACATATTATCTTTAGAATTTTTTCGTCTAGGGAAATAGTTTCTGTTGCTTCAAGCACTTAATTTGCTATACAAAAAAATATATATATTTAGCAAGAAAATTAATCATTTCATTTAGTGATAGAGCAGATTAGTATTCCTAGCCATCTAACCCACAATTGACAGGCAGGAGCTTAGCTCTAATAGATATACTATCCATTTAATCCATTTCTGTACATTAATCATGAACCGAACTAGATCTTCTCTAATCGAAATGCACCCTAGAACATTTTTTGGGTGGTGCTCTCAGGCATTGTGTTTGGGGTGGTGGTGTTGGGGTGCCGGCCAGGGGACCGCAAATTTTATGCACGTTATAAATCACAGACGACTGCGACGACAACGGCCACGTCGAGGACGACTGCAAAACTGTTCACATTAATTGTTGCAACGTCATTTTCGGGCCTATTGTGTTGGCTGCCCTGCCCCTCCCCAAACACCATACAATGTACCCCCCAGTCCAATCCACGAGCCAGGCCAATAAAAGGCGCTGGCTGTGTGTGCTCCAGACGCCTTTGTGTCACGTGGCAATTTTCGCAAAAGGAATTTGAACAATGTAGACGTTTTTGCAACAGCAAATAATCACAAAAAAAACACTAAGAAAAGTTCAACTATTTTTTTTTTTCCTGCCGTTTGCATAGGCAAATTTCCTATGGCTGATCGGTTGGGGAGGCTTGTAGGGAGTCCATAAAAAATGGCTGTTTAGTGGCTGGATTTGGGGATTTGTCAAAGGCGCGACAACGATGCACGAATACTAGCAATATGCCCCATGAATTTTTCCTTATTTTCATAATTTCACATTTGAGACACAAAAGAGCCAAAACATAAAATGGAGCTTTTTGTTTGTTGCCCAGTGCGCGCGTGGTTCGTGGAACGGAAATGTCCATGTATGGATGAGCATAAAAAAAAATAAAAAATAGAGTGTGTTTAGAAGAGGAAACTTTTCAATTTAAAATTTAATTTCAAGTTTACTTTTTGATAGGTTTTTTAAGGTATAAAGGAACAGATGTACATGGGTAAATAGTTTTTCCATTGAAATATATAAAATACTGAATTAAAATTGTAATGGCGAGGCGGAAAAAATACTTACAGGTTTGTTTATAAGAAGTTTCAAATAAATTCTCAAGTCGAGATCAGCAGAAGGATGAACTTTTAGAATAACCCAATAGCTTAGAATATGTTTTTAAAGAGCGCTTAGCAGTGGTAAATTTCATCCTATTTTCATATTTATTTTGGTTCTTACTTATTTATAGTTTAAGCGACGATTTGACTGCCATATGTGATATTTATTTACCATTGTTTTAACGGTATGCAAAGCACATAATACAAATTCTCTGACAATTGAAAAACAGCCCCACATGCAATCACATTTGTCGACATTTACATATGGTGGCCGCCAGCCCGCCCCCGCCCCATTCCCATTCACTTGCATAGTGGGAAGATAATCCCCTGCAAATATTGTGAAAATTGTACATAAAATGCAGGCAAAAACACTTGAAAGCAAAGTTATGAACCGAATGACAACAGGGCGTATGGAGAGGAGAGCAGACGACGACGACGACGACAGGAGGATGGCAAAAAAAACAGCAAAAGGGCGTCGTTAATATTTCAAAAACAGAAGCACAACCAAAAGGAAAACAAGACAGATAGAGAGGGAGGGAGAGAGAGAGAGAGAGACATAACAAAAAGCTCAGAGGACAACAACGGTAATAACAAGAACCGTAATACTCAGACAATTGCACACGCGCGCACACACTTGACTTTTGTTGGTCCATTCAAAATATTAAGGCATATTTGCCGCTTGGTCAGCAGAATCCAGCAGCAGAAAAACGTTGAGGCGGGGCCCCCTGCCACTGCCCCCGCTCCAGCTCCGGCAAATTAGACAAAACGAGAAATCACATGGTGCAGACAGGGGGACGAAGGCTGCTTCTTCGTGTTGCACAAAATTTATGGCCATCGAATGGGGTGGGGGTGGCAATGCACATTTTCCTCTTGCAGTGCCAGGTTCTGCCGGGGAGGACTAGACCAGAAAGTTGTCAATGTGTTAAGAGTGTTTGCCTGTGCCTGTGCCTGTGCGTGTGTGAGCAAATTAATTGTTGACAGCGCGACAACATCTTCAGGCCCCCAGCCACCCAGCCAGCCACCCAGCCAGCCACCCACACGTTCACGGGAAGGCCCTGGACAAGTTTCAGGTTAAGTGTTTCCTGACATCAGGCGCCATTTATCACCGCTGTGGGGACAACAAAAGTTCAAAGAGGTCTTACATGGTCTTATCTGGCTACGAAAGGGATGCGCTTGCCCTGCTGATCAATACCTTAAGTAGCGGACATCTTATTACAAAACCAAATCATAGGGAAGAGAGATGAGTTTCATCTGTTTTTATGGTTGATGGGGCATGTGGTCCAAATGTTTGAAGAACTTTATCTTGTGTCTCTAAATTTCTTGGCTTTCCAATTTAACTTGCGAAATGGGATCAGTATAGACAGCAGCATTAATCCGAATTTAATGGATTATTTTAATGAATTAAGCCTTTACCTTTACATATATGTTGGCTCAGAGATGCCTTACACAAGCAATATATTTAAGTTTAGAAGTTGGGCGCTTAAAGCAGTTAGTCCGGGCTGCCAGACTGCTAGATTCATGTGTGAGCACTAGTGCTGCCATACTGTCAAAATAATGATCGAAAACATTTCTGCCGTCGATTAAATTAATCAGATTTATCGAATTTACCGATGAAATTTGAAATTATCGGGCGCCTAGCCGCATCCGGACAGCCAACATTCTATTATTGTTTCCATTTGGTTTAAATTAATTCCAAGAGATTTGAGATTGAGATAATAATAATACATTTTATTCAATTCAATTAAATTCCTTCCAAAAAAATGCACACGCGACAGTCTCAAGCATTACCCAATCACCTAAAGGAGTATACAATATCAATATAATCACAAAACAAAAATAAATTCAATTCTTGAGAGGGAACGGCGGCACCCAGCCACCAAAGGCCCGCTCCAGTTCCTCAGCCACGGCCAGGCAAAGGCGGTCATTATTGATGTTTGCCACCACCTGGATGCCGAGCGGCATACCATTCGCATCCAGACCCATGGGCACTTGAGTGGCTGGCAGGCGCAGCACATTGAACAAGCTGAAATAAGCGAAATCATTAAATTTGACCAGAGGATAGTAATGGAACGGCGCTGTTCGGGGCGAGCTGTGGAAGAAGAGCACGCCATCGTCGCCGAGGAGCTCCTGCAGGGCCTGCTTGCACTTCTTGGTGGCATCGCGGATCAGCTTCTCCGACTCCTTGGGCAGAACGCCATCGATTAGCCCGTAAATGGCAGCCATGCTGTAATCACTCTGTCCCAGCAGCTTCTTGAAGAGTTCCACAAAGGGATTTAGCTCGACGCCGTTGCCCAGCAATAAATTAAAGTTGGCCGGCTCCTGGGTCATCCAATAACGCCACATCTTGCCGGTCAGTTTGGTATTTGGTAGATTAGCATGACGCACATCTTTCCCGTCGTTGAGATTCTCGAAATGCTTGCGGACTTTGTACATCACGCGTTCCGTTTCGCTATTGATGGGATTGCACTGCGGCATGCCATTGGAGGCGATGTAGAAGTAACGCAGACGCTTCAGATCCACCTTTTGGTCCAATTTCAGCACAGACTTTAGCTCTGGTTCCAGCAGCACCTGCATAATGGGCAGCAGATCCTGGGCAGAACGTGACATGGGCCCGGCACAGACCATCGTGTCCTTCTCCTTGCCCGTGCGGAAGGTGCAGCCAGCCATGTTGACCGCTCCCGAGCTGGGCTTGTGGCCGAAGACGCCGCAATTGAAGGCCGGTATGCGTATGGAGCCGCCAATATCCGTGCCCAGGCCGAAGCCAGTGCAGCAGGAGGCGATCAGGGCGGCCTCACCGCCGGAGGAGCCGCCCACCGAGCGACGCAGATCGTACGGATTGTTGGTGTTGCCAATCAGCATGTTCCTCGACTCGATCCACTTGTTCACCTCGGGTACGTTGCTCGTGGCTATGATGATGGCGCCGCTCTCCTTCATGAGTCTCACGCACTCGGCATCCTCGGCGGAACGCTCCGTCCTCCTGGCCACCAGGCCCAGGGTGTGCAGCTTGCCCGCCACCGATGTGCTGTCCTTTGTGGTGAAGGGCACGCCCAGGAAGGGCTGCTTCCGCAAATCCTCCGCGGTGTACTCATTGTTGAGCAGCTTCGTGTCAATGCTCTTGGCCAGCTCCAGGGCCTCCTGCTGAAAGGGCCCGTCCACTACCGCATTGATGTCCCGGTTAACCACCTCAATGCGATCGATGTAGGCTTTCACTATGTCGTAACTTTTGAGCTTACGTTCGCGTATCTGCTGTGCCAGCTCGACGGCGCTTTTGGTCAGTATAACCTGTTGCTCAACGCTCGGAGGCGTTGACACACGCTTGTGCGGCCCCAGAAACCAGCCCAGGACAAGCTCCAGCAGTCGGTCGCTCAGTATGTGAGCCAGCACTATTAATGCATCCAAAATGCGATTCCACACCGACATGTCTATTGATTTTTCAACTTTTTTGCACTTTGCGCAACCTTTGTGGAAATTCCAAATTTGCACCTGTGCACCCTGAGCACCTGGAGTTTTAGGTATGGGAATGTTAAATAAATTGACTTATCGATATAATTCTTAATGTTGATGATATATTTGTGGAATATATACAATTTAGACTATATATAGTTATGATCGTATGCCACCACACCTATCATGAATTCACGCACCGCCGCTTATATCTGCCAAGTATAATAACTTAAATTTTAAAATATCTGCAGCCTGCGATGCACTAGATAAGTGTAGTACGGCCATTATCGATGACTATCGGTATTTTTGTGCGATAGGCGGAACGCGGTCTTGTAACTAGAGCTGGAGAAATATCGATGTTTGCCGACATCGATGTTTTCGATCTTTTGAGAGCAAAACATCGATAAAACATCGATGTTTATAAAATTGTTGTGTAGCTTAACCCATTATGTGCCGAAGGGGTTTTAAAAAACTTTTATAAGAATATTATAACAGAACTTGGTCGAAAACATAGTTATTATATATCTAAGGAAATAACTATGGTGCTTAAATATTAATTTATTCTTATGTTTACGCCACGCTGGCGTATAAAAATTTCATCAAGACGTCTAGAAGCAGCCCCCAGTGGGCCCTTAAATTTAATATGTGAATTTTTGATTGTATGTATATAAAAAGTTCCATATATGTATATTATTTAGTTGATTTAGTAAATCACCTTTTTAATCATTAAATTATGAAATTATTAAATTATTCGTTTTAACTAAAAACATCGATGTTTGAGAAAAATCATCGATGTCTGCAGCTAAGACTCAAACATCGATGACATCGATGTTATCATCGATGTTATCATCGATGTTTTAGGCGGTATAGGCACCAAACTGAATTTTTTTTAATACGCCAGACCTTTTAGTTTAATATAAATTTTTTTAATCAATAAATATAACTGAAATATATACTCGATTGTATTCTGCATTATTAATTTCAGCTTCGCCATTTTATTCAACTATTTCTTCGCGTCATATAGTATGCGTGAAATACAGCCAGCGCATCGTGTATAGCCTACTAATATCGACCCGCAGCTGTTTTCCACAATAAAAATTTAAATTTCGAGTCGAATTTAAATTTAAATTAAATAAATTGATTTATCGATATAATATGGGTATTATCGTCATGCACGAGCTGTGAACTAGTTCTCGTTTAGTTCCGTTTTTTGATCTTGAACTGAACTAGTTGGGTGGAACTAGTTCCGTAAACCACGCAATTTCGCCTACGTAATTTGAGATGGGCGATTAATATCGCCTTAAAAATCGGGCCACCTCTAGCTTTCTCCATAATTTCTCCATATCGTCATTCATCGCATATATATCGTCATGCAACGAATACTTCCAGACTTCCATCGCCATACTTATCGTCATTATTCCATCGCCATTTTCGGTACTTGCCCGGCCCGCCAGATTTGAAATCTGATTTGAATTATCTCTGGCTGAGGTATGCTTCAGTCTGTCCAGGGTCCTCTACAAGAAAATTTGTAGATCGCAGGTGACTTCAGGTGTCGGGCTGGCTTGAAATGCAGGCAAGGGTCTTCCCTTGATGATGCGGTGGTTTTTGCTTTTGTGGTTCTTGGTTGATTCTTTATTCTTTCTAATTCTTCGGGGGCTTGTTTTCAATGGATTACTCGCAAATCTTGTTACTTGGCCTCTGAGCCGGTGGACTGCTTAGTCAGTATCTTGTGTTCGGGCTGATGGACTGCCTGCTCTTTCGGCCGATCTTGGCCCTTTTATGCAGCGCAGCTGGCGATCGCACTTGAGACCCAGAAATAATTAATTATTGCTAACCTATGATTATTGGGTGACAATAATTGTGGGTCAGTGTGGTTTTAATGAGACTGCATCCCGGAAGGTGCTGGCTGCAGTTGGGAATTGGGTTTCGAAATGAGGTTTTGCCAACTCTGCATCGCGGAAGGTGATAGCTGAGTGGTAAGTCGATGACCTGAGGCCGAATGGTTGCGAAAGATCGCCAAAAAGTGGGTGACCTAGAATTTCGTGCGTTGCTTAAGACTATTTTATTTTCCGGAGTGCTGAAGCACTGCTATTTGTGAGGAGAAACGTGGCCAGAGCCATGGTTCGTTACAATATATTCAAGAAGAGATAATTCAAAATCACGAAATTAAAATAAATGCTTAAAAATTCGTTTTTATTAAAGTTTATTAAAGGCAGCCTTTTTGGCTTGGCTAAGTTTAGAAAATTTGTTCATGAAACTTATGTATATTCGGCTTCTCCCGCTATTACTTTCATAAAATTCGTTTAATTTTTGTTTGGGAAACATTTTGCCAATATCCATTGTTAGCTGTCGCCCGACTTCAGCCGACATATAAATTTTTTTATCAAAATAATAGTTAGCGATAATTTTGATTAAGTACTTCCTGTCCCATAATGTTAAATCTTCGCCAATCGCCGCCTTTAGAGCCAGTTTATGTGACTTCATTCGAATGATGTTAAAAAGAGGAATACTTGTCAGGACAGATTTGGTAGAATTCGACATTGCCGACACAGAAGCTGAGTAGGCGTTGGGAGCTCCTATTGCTAGGAGCTCGGCAGATGATGTCGACGGCAGTTGCGGCCATTCGACGGGTGCCAAGCTTGACTCCTGGTACGAGCAAGCTATTGAAGTTAGGTCGTTTTTTTCGTAAGAACGACGTGGCTGATTAAGCAGCGTAAGCACCTGTCGCTGCTTCTTGAAGGAAATGTTGTCTACCGTCTGAAAAGATTAAATAAAGGCCATAAATTGGACAGTACTACACGGCTGGGCTGTACTTACGTTTAATTGTTGCGGTGGAGTCGTCTGGTTATCATCATCAACGATTTCCCCATTATCAGAATGCTCAGATGGCTATACAAAAGTCTTTACTAATATATGATGTTAAAGAAATCATCCCAGTTGACTCACGCTTTGCTCCGTCTGCTCCATCTGCTCGTGGTAGGGCATCTTTGGAGGGGTACCTTCCCAGCTCCGCGCATAGATGCTACTGCTGGACCTCTTGGCGGGCGCAGCTTCGGGGCTCCGATCTGGCAGCAAAAATATAGTGGTTATGCCTGGCGAGCAGTCCTCTACTACGGGTGCTCTATGGCAAGATGTCTATAAAAGTAGTGGATCAGTATCGGAACACTATGCTAATATCTTGATATCCTTACCTTAATGGGAATCAATGAAATGTCAATGTAATTCATTTCAAGACGCGGGCAGTCCTCTACCACGGGTCTTTTATGGCAGGATGTCTATAAAAGTAGTGGATCAGTATAATCAGTATCAGTATCCCGATATCCTTACCTTCGTGGGAATCAACGAAATGTCAATGTAATTCATTTCAAGACGCTGGGTTGGCCTGGGTTCATGGATGCGCAGTGCCCCTCTCGGCGACACTTCAATACTGTAAATTAAATGCCACTTATTATGCACATATTAGCATGGGATATTAACTACTTACGGACAGATGTTCTTTTCGTGGCTGCTCATTTTACAATTTTTTTCTCAAAATCAACGTCTGTTTAGAAATTCACCTTAGGCTGCATGGTCAGTTCAGTGTGGAAATCTTCTGCGCAGACTCACCACACCTCACCACAGAAGGAAAGAAGAGAAGGAAGAGAACAGGAGCAAAACGAGCAAAGAAGAAGAGAAGAGGCGGCCCTAAGTCATCTGCGCTGCGATTAATTCAATTATATTTAATAATTACGCTTAAATACAGACAATTAAATCTAAAAAGTGCCAAGCCAAATTACCAAAAGAAGTTGCAAACCAATGACCAATTTGCCAAAATGCCCAATTGCTATTTGAGAGGAAGAAATAAGGCCTTCAACAAGAAAATCATTAAAAGAGACAAAAAGAATACAGGTGATGATCGAATTAATATTCTAAGGAAATCAATCCAATTAGTATTGCGGTAATAGAAACCGTGCGCGCCGCACACGAGAGAGACTGTGGAGAGGAGAGTCTTCTATAGTATGTGTGCGTGTGTGGTGCGTGTGTGGTGCGTGTGGTCAAAAGTAGGTCAGTGCAGTGCACAGTGCCAAACGCGGTACAGTTTTAGCTAAAACTAGTGCTTACTGAATTAATTCAGTGGATATTCGTCCAATATATACCCTTCTCTGGTGGCCCATCTAATTCTCCTTCTCTCCGTCTTCTGCAACGCAACTGAATCTACCATTCATATGCCCCATGCCTCCTATGCAAATGCAAGATGTTCTGATTAAGTTTAAAGCAGCAGCCGAAAAAAAGTGCGCTGCACTGCTTCAGTACCATATTTGAGCAAAAAGGTGCCTCCCACCTGCCACACCTTCCCAGCGATCTCCGTTTCGTCTATGGGCCGTACCCCCAAGCTCCTATTTATGCCATGCCACACAATTAATTTCATTTGAATGTTTAAACTTAAAAAGTCAAACGGTTTTCAGATAAGATGCATGCCACACCACACACAAAAACCCTTAAAAACCCGAATATAATTAGATTTAGATTCAACAAAATACTTCTCCAGAATCAGATTGATTGTAATTAACCGCATAATTTATTCCACAGTGTTTCCTGCTTCGTCCTGTCCTGCTCTATATGTGCCGTGCCCATCATGAGTAACCATACCCCAAATTATATAGCTATGTTCTCATTATTTCGGGGGTTTGTTGAAGTCCCATTCCCAAGGGAAAAAATAAAGAGAGCCATTCTTCGAATAGATCAACCGTCCAAAAATACGGACTTAAAGAATGGCATACTAAATATGCTGTCGAACTTAAGACATTTTAAAGAAGAATATGTCATATATGTGGATGAATATCACTTGAAACATATGCGACATATTTCTAACAATTACTGGAAGGTTTTGGCCATAGCGGCCTTCAATTTAGATGGAAATAATTTCCATTACTTATATTTTCGGGTGGTTCCTGTAATTAGTCATCTTTCTAAACTAGGTAAAGTAGTTATCGATGATACACTAAAGTTAGTGTTAGGAACTATTACAAATTGTGGACTTTCCAAACCCCTGCTGGCGGTCATTTCGGATCATTGTCCGGCAAATTGGTATGGCATATCAAATGCCGCCACCCAATACCCAGTCTTATGGGACATTTTCCACATGAGAAGGCGAATGAATAGACATCACAATCACTCAGACGAGTTATTAGAAGAGCTCTACAACTATCAATTTACAGCCAGTAATTGGCAATGTAAATTCGCAGAAATACCGAGCAGGATGAGATCAATGCCAGCTCACTTAATGCCAGAACATTTAATAACACGCTATCACATACAGGCTTGTAACCTAAAGGCAATGGTTCACCGACACTTTTGCCAATCGGAAGATCCATTAAAATTGGATAAAATAAATTGTCTAAAATTTGAATTCAAGGGCGAAGGTCTGGCCAAAAACGTATCAGATGCTGTTAAATTTGCCCATTATACACATAAAAATGATATATGCCCGGATAATCTCAGATATTTTTTAACCTGCGTGTACGGGATAATGGTTACATTAAAAACCAACTAAAAAATACTTAGAAATCCCTAAAAAATTAATTTAATTTAGATTACTCATAATTATTACTTGTAAGGTTAGTTTACACATCTGTCGTTAGATAACTCATTTGTTGGAATTATGTAAGGATTAAATTCAACATTTTTAAAATCAGAATATTCGTAACTTCAGTATCATTGATAGCCGATTCTTTTTAGTGTAATTTTAATTTCGTCCAGTAATAAGAGAAAATTGTAAAAATTGGTAAAATTGTTCAAATTATTTCAATTAATTTCCCGTGTAAAAGAAATCGATTTACGTAGCTATTAAAAAATAATACTAATATTAAATATCCCACTAAAACAGTAATTATTACTAAAATTAAGTTGTACAATTTTATTTCATAAAGCTCAATAATTTGGGAGGGACCCAATGGCTCTTTTTTTGTCCCTTGGGAATGGGACGTTTGCAAAATATCAAAATAACTGCCAACATGGTTGCTATAGTTGGGTGCGGACGGTTCTCGGATCGGATCGGAACGGATAAGATAGTTTGTACCCGTAAGTATTCTTTTATCTTTGTTTCCCATATACTCGCTCACTCTCTTATTCCATAGAAATCCGATAAATCCGATACTGTCTTGTGGATATCTGCGGGACTGGTAGCTGGGAATAATCAAAAAAGCAAGAAACTGGGGGAAGTGTCGCCGATTTGAACGAATTAAACTGTATGTAAAAATCGAAAACGATGCGCAACTGGATGCCGGTCTTGTTCTGTGGCTTGGCCGGTGTTCTTCTTCAGCTCGTCGCGGGCCACCAAGTTCCGTGCGCGCATGAAACGGAGGGCGAGGGCCAGAGGAACTGGGTCCAGGTCCTGTGCAACGATAAAATGGCCGCCAAACAGGCCCAGCTTTACCTCATTGACTGCGGCAGCGGCGAGCGGGTCATTGATTTTTCCAAGGAGTAACGCTCCAGCTGGCCTTCGTCTGCTGCAACGGCGACACCTGGTCCAGTGAGCTGGGCAGCGTGCTCTCCCAGCGCGATCCCATCTCCATCATCAGCTGACGACGCGTGCCGCGCTGCACCTATGGACGAATATCTCTAACCGGAGGGTGTACATCATGTGATTGGCCTGCGCATTCTAGACAATCACAGTGTCAATCTCATCTCCAGCATTATCACCGGCGTCACCATACCCGTCCTCGCTCTCAAATTCTGGCCTGTGCGCTGAACGAGGAGCATATATCTATTTCCGTAAAGCTTCCGAACCGCTTAGCGACTAACTCTAACAAGCCTTGCACCGATCGAAACGATGGACTCGAAAGAACAACGATAAGGAGCCGCAGCGGGAGCACCGACCGACCCCTATGAAGCCAATGATATTCCTGTTCGATTGATTTTGTTAATCTTGTGGCATCGCATTCCATCCCCCTGCGACTATCCGTCTAAGGTTAACTAACGCTAAGAACAGAACTCTAATCTGATAAATTATTGGATACTATCCGAGAGGTGATTCGTCAATCCAATTCAAATTGATACACTTCAGTTCAAGATCGGATCGGACCGTTTTTTGTCCTGTCCTGTCCCATATTATTCGGTATATTTATCAATATGATAAGTATGTTTTAATATATTTCTGAGGGTATGACGGTATATTTTATTGATAAATACGCGGTCACACTGAAACCACAGCCAAAAATCCATATTTAAACTAGAAATAAACTGAAATCAAATAAAGTTCGTTTCGTAAGTGACCAAGCAAATGTTTATTAAAAGCAATGCAATGGCAATGTTCAAATGCATTTTATGAACATTGCTGCTGTCCACCAACACCCGCCGCCGCCACCATAGCTTAGCTAAAAATTTAAATTTCGAGTCGGGTCTACAAACTTGGGATTTAGGTGATTTAAATGTATTAAAAGTGAAATCGCAGTGCACCGTGAACAAATAATTTGCGTTGGCCCCGAAAGTCAGCTCATATTGAATATATTTTATGGTACGTAAAGGCATACCATACCGGTTGAACGGGCAACGACTATTAAATGCCCTACGCTACGCTGATTGCAGCGTAAACATTAATGGGTTGGCAATTATCAGGTTGTTATCAGGTTGTGAATCATATTCGATTCGTTTATTAGTTGGCCATAAACAGAGAACACCTGGCCAAAAGGCAGGCCTCCTCCCCGAAGAGTGTGTGTCACATAATCCACGAGTTAGTCATCGGACCCCGCCTCCACTCCACTCAGGCCTCAGGGGGCCATTTAAATAGAAAGCGCCTTGAAATCTGTTTAAATGCATTTGTTAAACAAATAGCACATTGTTGGGCCGACAAAACTGCATTACGTGTGGCGTCGTTTCGGATCTTGACCAAGCAAATGTTTATCTATTAAAATGCATTTGCTGCTGCCCTACACGAGAAATACAAATATCCGGGGGCGTTCATATATAATATGTATTTGCCCCTGCTTATTAATGCAATTGCTCTGTGTGGGGCTTTTTGGCCTGGCCTGTGCGAAACGCAGCAACTGTTATTTTACAATATTGCATTGGCTCCCATTGGCTGCCAGGGTGCAGATGTGCGGGTGTGCGTGTGTTACGTGCTATCAGGTGTTTTCTTGGCCCTTATCTTGGCCACCGCGCCTCCGTGTGTCCATTTACAGCTTTTAAAGTCGTTAAAGGCACTTTGTGGGCCAGTTGCTGTTGCCGCCCGCCTCACCACCTCACCTGACGAGTGACGTGAATAGGGTGGATCTCGGCCACCCCACTAGTTATGCGCACGTGTCGTGACACGAGTGTTTTTTAAGCTTATGCAAAAAGTGGTCTGGTCTCAAATTTACGGGCTTGAGTGAGAGTTGCCAAAGTTTCGCTAATGGCCTGGTCGTAGGGGAATTCAGTTAGCGGTGTCGTGACCCGCATAAAACTAACTGTAAGCACCTTTTGAACTCGGCTTGAGTGTGGCGGAGTGGAGCCCCTCCACTCATCTTTAACACGCACTGCCACCGCGACGATTGCCACTGATTGGATCGGCAGCGAGCCTTAAAAACTGGCAGATAATAATACACTTTATGGGACGAGATATCTAAGCAAACAGCGTGCCCCTTGCGATTGTGATTGTGAGTGTAGCTGTTTGTGGGGTTTGTGTGTCATTTCTGTCTGTTAAGTGAGACACAGACTGCTTGCTTGCTGCTTGACAGTTGATTCGGCAAACAGACACCCCACCAGTCGGACGGGAACGGAACCCTATTGAAATATTTCTTTAATCGCTTGCCTCTCTGCGTCTCTCCCGCCCACCAGGTAAAGTCCAACAAAATGGAAATGAATCCAGCCGCAGCGACAGCCACAGCCACAGCCACAGGCGGCGGCACAGCAAGACGAGAACGAATCGAGGATGACGCAGCCACAGCCACATCCACACCCACATCTTCATCAGCATCCACACCCGCCTCCATTGCCGCCGACTACATGCGCAACTTTGAGAACATCATAGAGCCGGGAAAGGAGGCCTCCATGACCAGGGAATTCAATCCGCAGGTGGCCTACGAATTCGAGCGCTATCTCAATCCGCAGAAGCTCAAACAGCATGTGCTGGGCAGCGAAAAGCTGCGCTCCATACTGGAGCACTATGCACGGGAGACCAAACAGCCGCTGAAGAAGATGCAGCAGCAGGCCAAGGCCATTATCGATGAGATTGGCCTGGACAGAAATATGGCCATAATACGTTGGTGCGGCATTGCCATAACGGCCATTGGCCAGCGGATCTGTGATGGTTTCTATGTGAATTCGGCCAGCATGGCGAATGTGCGCAAGGACATGGGCAAGTGTCCGGTTCTGTATTTGCCAAGCCATCGCAGCTACATGGACTTCATACTGATGTCCTACATATGCTACTATTACGACATTGAGATACCTGGCATAGCAGCAGGAATGGGTTGGTTTTACCATACAAGTCCCAAACCATTTTTATTGATTAATTTTTGATCATTAACAGATTTCCATTCAATGTTCGGCATGGGCACAATGCTCAGGAAAACGGGAGCCTTCTTCATGCGACGCAGCTTCTCCAACGACGAGCTCTACTGGGACATCTTTCGGGAGTACATGTATGCCCTGGTGGCCAACTATCACATTGGCGTGGAGTTCTTCATTGAGGGCACACGCTCGAGGAATTTCAAGGCACTGGTGCCCAAGGTGGGACTGCTGTCGATGGCCCTGCTGCCCTACTTCACGGGCGAGGTGCCCGATGTGATGATTGTGCCCGTGAGCGTGGCCTATGAGCGAGTGCTGGAGGAGCAGCTGTTCGTGTACGAGCTGCTGGGCGTGCCCAAGCCCAAGGAGTCCACAAAGGGCTTCTTCAAGGCGCTCAAAATAATTGACGAACGCTTTGGCAAGATGTTCCTGGACTTTGGCGATCCCATTTCGGTGCGAGAGTTCTTTGGCCATGACAGTGGGCAACGCATGCAGCGAGCCGGCGTGGGCGGACATCTCCAGAAGCTGAATCGGCAGGAGATCGAACTGGTCAAGCAGCTGGCCAATGAGATCATCTACCAGCAGCAGCGACGCATTGTCATCAACACCTTTAACCTGCTCAGCCTCTACTATGCCAGCCAGCTGTATGCCCAACGTTCGGCAAACATCGATGAGCTGTCGCGTGGCATGCTGCACCTGAAGCGCATCTTCAATCAGCTGGGTGCACATGTGAGCATCAAGGCCAGCAGCATCAAGGCGGACATCATTGACGCCGTGGAGATACACTCGAATATTGTGCAGTTTTCGAAGGCAAGGCTACAGTTTACGCCGCTGGCGGCCAAACAGTTGGCCACACAGATCGATGTGACGCGCATGAAGGCGCATGCCCTCTGTCCCTCAACCATGGCCGTGGCTGTGCCCATGCTGGCCCTGCAGCTGTATGTGAATCCGTGCCTTTTCTGGCTGGCCAGACCCGCCTATCTGCTGCTGGCTGCGCTCAAGGAGCAGCGCAAACAAGAAGAGCAACAGCCGAGCAGCAGCAGCATCAGCAGCTGCACCTACGACAGCACTCTGTCTGCGCTGCATTCGCATGTGAGCATCATGGATAGCCTGTTCCAGCATGAGTTCATCATTGAATCGAATCGTGAGGCGGTCGAATTCGAGACTCATCTGCAGCTGCTGCTCGATGAGAAAGTGCTGGACCTGGAGGAGAGTGGCAGAATCAAGGTGCAGGACAATGAGTGCGCTCATGTCATACTGGCCGCCCTGGCGCCCTTTCTGTGTCTCTACTACCAGCTGGCTGTGACGTTGCGACAGGTGAGTGGATGAAATAAACACAAAGCCATGCTAAATATAACTCTTATCCCTGCAGGTGCCCTTTGACATTGAGTTTAGCAACAAGGATCTGCTGGTGCGCGTGCAGAAGCATGTGGAGCAGCTGCTGCAGCAGCCTGGCGGCGCGGCACCGCATGTTCATCCGTATTGCCTGGCCCTGGACAATCTCAATATTGCCATCCAGGCACTCATCCAGCGTGGCTACATTCTCAAGTGCCGCGACTCGGGACAGCTGCGCGTCGCTGATGTGCCCGGCAAGTGCCTGCGGGAGTTGGAGCAGCAGTTGCTGGAGTACTGCCAATTGATGCCATTCGCACAGTACTCGATGGCGGCCAACCAGCAGGCGCAGTGCCACATAGCAAAGTTATAACTGGCAATGGCAAACGGCGGCGGCGGCAGCGGCAGCGGCGGCAACCAGCCATCATCCTCCACACATTGTAGTACAATTTTCATTGCTTTGTTCATCCAATTCATACGCTTCATTGTCGGCCTGCTCAAGAATTGTCGCATCATCTGCATACTGTTTGTTTTTGTGATTGTGGCGCCACTCTGGCAGCTGCTCCGTTGGCTCATCGCCACATCCTCCACGCATTCCCCGACGTAGGCTTAAGAGGGTCGTCCTGGGGGTTAGGGGTTCTGATTGTTGTCTGTCTTTAGGTCTAAGAAATTCATTATTTCCGAGGAGTAACAGCGCACTAGATCCACACAAAGAACGCCAAAAAAGATAAATCCTTAAACACAAAAAATAATTTTTTAAGAGGAAAATTCGTTAGAATTTTTGCTGCCTAACGGATGCTGCATTTTCACGTGGCACAAAATAATTTAGAACACATTTTAGCGCACAAAAGAGAAACGAAGCCGTTTTCTTGCCAAACATAATTCGGACACAAAACAAGACTCAAAATCAATTAGAAAAAATCATTTGAATACCAAGAATTAATTTAATATTTTTGGGTATATATTTAAGATTTTAATTGAATCAAAAAAAGTGACATATTTTATATATACAATATTTTTTCTGTTGTAAGTGGGCTTGCTTTATTTTAACATTTGCCAAAAAGAAATATTATGGAAAGAATTTTATTTTAAACAAAATTTAAGCATAAACTTTGTTTGAAAATTCAAATTTGAATTTTTAAGAATTTTAAAGCGCAGATTTAAATTTCCTTTGAACGAATTTTAATGCACAAAAAGTTGTATTCTTAAAATTCAATTTCAATTATGTAAAAATAACGCAAGAAATTTGAATTTAAATACATAATTGATTTAAAAAAAATCATTTTGCATTCTTTGGCAATTTTAAATAAAGCTACATCACACACAAGATTTCCATTTTGAGATGGAATAATCTTGAAATTTTTAAGGGCTAAAATTAAAAAAAAAAGTTTATTGTATATTGAATCGTTTAGTTTTTCGGCCATTTGTTTTTTGAACATTTAATATAAAGTTAGTTTTTAGTTTTGTTTGATTATTTTTTAAGTTGTTTGAATTTTGTATTTTTAGTACATTCCCAAAACCGGAAATCACATATTTTTGTATAGTTCCACTGTGCCAATGCAAGAGTCATCGCGGCGGGGGCACTTTTACGGATTAGCTATAGAATAATATATTGGATTGGATCATTCGGGTCGAAAAAAAAGAGTTCCTGGGGATCCACACAGCACAAGAGGGAAGTCTGCAAAGTGCAATATATATATATATATATATAGTAAATGTTTTATGTCATGATATTTTTAGATACTTTTTATTTTATTTTTGTGGTAGCAAATTTTATATTTATAATAGAACTTAAAAGTGAACAACACCAATCCTAAACTACACAAATTCAACAAGAAACCAGAGCAATAATAAAGAATTTAGAAAGATCACAAGAACTGCCGCTTGAATTGGTCCAGGGTACGCTGACTGATGACCACATGCATCATCAGACGATCGGGGTATGCCTCATCCGCCACGGTGTCCATAACGGCGGCATTCTTATAGAGCCAAGCCATTTCGGGCCCACCGCTGGGCACACGCATCTGCAGCTTGCGTCGCCCCGTGGCGGCCAGTATCTGCTCCTCTATGTCAGCCAGCAGTGGCTCCAGTCCGGTCTGGGCTCTGGCTGAGATATGATGAGCCGCAGCATCCGACGCTGGGTGCGCCACCAAATCGCATTTGTTGTACACATTTATGATGGGTGGCAATTGGCTGGTTGCGGGATCACCGCCAGAAACATTGAAGGCCAAAGAACGAAGGGTGGACTCCACGTGGCTGCGTTGGGCTGCATGGCAGGCATGCGACAGATCCTGGACATGCACAATGACATCCTAGAGCAAGGATGAAACGTTCTTTAACTGTGCTGAAAAGTAGAATTAAATGTGGAAAGACTCACCGCCAGCATGGCATCCTCCAGAGTGGCCACAAAACACTCAAACAGACCGGTGGGCAGATCGGACATGAAGCCCACCGTGTCCATGTAGATCACCTGCAGATTGCATGGCAGCTGTCCCGCATGGGCCGTCACATCGAGGGTGGCAAACAGTTGGTTGCGCGGCTGCAAGGCATCCTCCACCGTCAGCGCTTTGATCAGGGATGTCTTCCCCGCATTCGTATAGCCCACCACTGCCACAATGGGGTAATTCTGCTGCTTGCGTTTCTGTCGCAGCAGCTGCCGTTGTCGCCGCACCCTGTCCAGCTCTGCGCACAGTTTGCGCTCCCGCGTGCGCAGGATTTCCTTCTGCAGATCGGTCAGGGCATAGCCCTGACGACGCGTCTGCGTCACGCTGGCATCCTTGGCCTGCGACCAAATGTACGGCAGCTCGGCCATGGCCACCTGGAGACGAGCCTCGGCGGTGGTGGCATGCAGCCGGAGGATTTGTATGACCACCGAATAGCGATCCATCACGGGCAGACGGAACTCTGCTTCCAGGAAACGTTTCTGGGCAAACGAGAGCGTGCCCTTGCTCACAAATAGGCAGGTGAGATGCTTCTCCTGACGCAGATCCGCTATTAAGGCCTTCAGCTCCACCATTTTGCCGCTGCCGAAGAGCGTCTTCCGCTCGAGACTCTCCAGCGGGACCTTGAGAGCCTTTGCCACCTGCCAATTGGGCAGGGAGTGTATCAAAGCGCTGGCTTCGGCCAACTGATCCTCCGGTCGAACGACGCTGGGCGTTTTCTGCCTCTTGGCGGACCACTTTACAAACGGCTGGAGGATGAGCACATGCTGGGCGCTGGCTATGTCGCGGCTAATGCGCATGGCACCCCCGGCCACCTCATCGTAAGCGCTGTCGAAGAGAAGTCCAAGTGAGAGCTGTTTTTTCTCTCTATCGTGATTATAAATCGCGCACTTACCGATCATCCAGAAAGCGCATGTCAGACAGATTCCCATTGGTTCGATCCTCTCCCTCGTCATCCTCATCGCCCTGCTGTCCCGCCTGCATTTGTGCTTCAAAGAAGCTCTTCCGATTTCTTATTCCCTTGACGCCCTGATGCTGAGTGTACTTGAAGCGTGAATGAAGCACTGCCCCAACAGCGGGACGCACTGGGACAGCAGCCCTGGCCAGGCGCAGCAGTGGCCTAAGACTGGTCATAACTAAAGCTAATTGGGAATTACAAACTGCAATTGCTAAAAGGTTTCCTCCTTCAGTATCGTATGCTTGTCCTCAAAGGCCATCCAGGCGGCTTGGCAAGATCTGGTGCGTGAGGATGTCGCCTGGTACGAGATGCCCGTGGCCACCACTGAGGCCACCAAAATGTTGTACTTGGCCGGATAGCGGATCTTCGACTGAATTATCTTCTGGGCAAAGTAGGTGCCGGAAAAGCCTGTAATTTGTAAGTTATTATGCAATTGCTTTTCGCTTTTTTTTGGCACTGTGAAGGAAAGAAAATCTACTGCGACGCACCCAAGCAGAATGAGGCCAGGCCCGTGAAGAGGGAACGGGTCATACAATCCAGGTAGGCATCGAATCCGGGATGTTTGTCGCGTTGCTGATCCTTCAACTGTTTGATATCGTTCATAATCAACGTTGAATATTCCTTAAATATATGATTATTAATTTGCCGGCGACGAGAACAGCTGGCGGGCGATGGGTTGAAAGAGTGGCAGCGCTGTAAATTATAGCTAATTGTTTGGCTTTTTTCCCTCCAGTTTATCTGCATTTAAAGGTTTACTAATACCTTAATAATGACACCATTAAAAAAGAATAGATTAACTATCACTTAAAACAATTTATTTTTAATTCCTAGCTATAAGCTTTGAATAATGCTTTGTGGTTGCATAGCTAGTATAGCTTCATTTTATAGCTAGTTCTGGCTCTTTTTTTAAATGCGATGTTCAGGTCTGGCAACGCTCAAGGCGCTGTAAGTGTTTGGAATTTTTTCTTTTAATTTGTTGTTTTCGCCGAAATTGCTCATCAAAATGGATGTGCAGAAGATTTGTCTGACCTGTTTGAGTCTAACAGGTCCGTTTTTATCCATTTATGATGGCGGATCAGGCAGCTGCCTGGCGGATATGCTCAAACAGTTCACCAAAACGAAGGTAAGTCCCAAGACGATACAATAAAACCGCAACTTAATCCCTCAACGCCTGCCATTTGAAAGCCGCGTCCCGAAGATAATCTGCCCAAACAGGTCTGCCTGGGCTGTCTGAGCGAGATAAACCACTGCTACACCTTCAAGATCAAGTGCGAGAACTCCAGTCGCACGCTTCGCCAGCTGCTGCCCAATGCCCTGCCGGAGGAGCCCGAGTTCGCCGCCAAGCCCGCTGTGCCCACTGCCGAGAAGGCCGTACAGACCACGAAACCCTGTGCCCCGACAACAGCCACAGCGGAAGTGCAAACCACTGCAACGCTCACCACAGATGCTGCGCAGAATACCAGCCTGGATAAGTCTGCCTCTGCCCCTGCCCCCGAAGAGGAGGATGCGGAGGAAGACGGTGAAGAGTGTCAGGTGTTTGATTACGAGCTGCCCGTAGAGCATACTGAAAAGGAGGAAAATGAAGAGCCTATTACTGTCTATAAACACGAGCCCGGCAGCCGGAAGACAACCGAATGTAATATAGCCATATTCGAGGCTGTCAAAAGTGACACAGAGATGCCGGCACCCGCACCCACACCCAAATTGCAAATGAGGACACGAAAGAGTGCCGCCAAACTGTTGCTGCAGCAGCAGGAGGTGAAGCAGTCACCCAAGCAGGAAATAGAAGGCTCGGCGACACCAGAGCCAGAGGCAGAAGCACAGCCAGCACCGGCCAAGAGATCCTCACGACGCCGCCCAGCCGAGAAACCAACGGAAACAGCGGAAATGGTGGCTCCTGTGCCAAAACTGATCAAAGTCAGCATCAACCATGGCGAAATAATGGATCTAAAGTATCATTGTGATCGCTGCAATGCTGGCTTTGCCCTGGAGAAATCTCTGGTCATACATCGCCGACAGAAGGGCTGCATCAATCGCAATTATCCCTGCAACGAGTGCGAGCGGGTGTTTGTCTCACCGGAGCATTTGGCGGAGCACCAGGCCACACATGGCACATACAATTGCCAGGAGTGCGGACTGCTGTGCGACTCCAAGGAGCAGCTGGGCAAGCATATGGTGCAGGGCCACAAACGGAATCTGCGCAATCAGTGCAGCGTTTGTAAGAAGGGTAAGAGATTCAGCTTGAAAAGCCCCCCATCAACGATATCTAATTGCTTCCTTTTTGGGCAGTCTTTACCATGCTCTCCACCCTGCGAGATCACATGCGCATCCACACGGGTGAGAAGCCATTCCTGTGCAACATTTGCGGCAAGAGTTTTACACAGAATGCCAATCTGCGCCAGCACAAGCTCCGCCACTCGGACATCAAGAGCTTCAAGTGCTCCGTGTGCCCGCATTCGTTTGTGACCAAAGCAGAGCTGACCTCCCACGCGCGCACCCACACCGGCGTCAAGCCGTACGAGTGTGAGGTGTGCATGACCAAGTTTACGACGAGCTGCTCGCTGGCCAAGCACAAGCGAAAGCACACGGGCGAGCGGCCCTATGCCTGCGATCTGTGTCCCATGCGCTTTACGGCGCTGAATGTGCTCAAGAATCATCGACGCACGCACACGGGCGAGCGTCCGTATGTGTGCCCCTTCTGCTCGAAGACATTTACACAGCGCGGCGATTGCCAGATGCATCAGCGTACGCATCAGGGCGACAAGATCTACATTTGTCCGGTGTGCAGCGAGGAGTTCAAATCGATGCCAGAGATGCGCACACATTTGGCCGTACACGAGCAGGAGGACAAGCGTTTGATGCACTTTACGCTGCTCAGCAACAAGGAGAATGGCAGTGGGGGTGCGGCCCTAGACGATGAGCTCACCGAGGTCACGGATTCGGCATTGATGCTATAAGGGAACTGCAACTAGAAGTAAGAACACATCACACCGACACCGATACCATATCCACATTTAGATTTAGCTACTCTGTACACCTGTAAGCAGCCCCCCCACACACACACACACACACACATGTGCACCACCGTCTCTCCGTTTTCGTACTCGCTTTTTGTTTTTTCCCTGTGGGAATTTATGACAAAATTAGAAATTTGTAAGAGCATCTTTTTAGTCTTATACGCCTAAGGGTTTGCTTGGAGAAAATAAAAAGAAAGATCCTTAAACATAAATTGCATCGTTAATCGTTAGTAGAACTGTCCGAATTGCTGCTGCTGCTGCGGTTGACCCCCGCCCACCATCGTCGTCGTCTGCAGGGCTGAGGTGGTGGGTATTTCGGACAGGATGAGGGCGGTGGCACCGCTTGTTACGGGCGGATCGCCCTGGAACCAATTGACCAGCTCGTGATGCGCACTCTGGACACATTTACGCTGGTCGGCTATCAGGTTCTCCGAGTATTTCACATGATTCGCATAGGCATCCTTCTCGTGCTGTGCATCCTTGGACATGCGATGCAGATCCTTGAGTATTGCCGAGCCCCACAGCTGGACGTGTATGTCGGGTATCTTGCTGGCCAGCTGCATGGCCGGCGTCACCATGTTCATGCTCTCCTTGGAGTTGCCAATGCTGAGGAACACATGCGACAGCAGCACCAGCGAGCAGCTTGTCAAACGATTCAGATCCTCGGCATTGGCCATCTTAAGGGTTTCCCTCAGAAAGCGCCTGCAAAGCGGAGTAAAAGATTAGGAAATGTCTCTCGATAGTCGCTCGACCGATGCGGCCGGCACTCACTTGGCCTCATGGAAGCTGTTCTTGTGGAAGGCATGTAGTCCCTGGACATAGTAGAAGCCGCCCATCAGCGCCTGGCTGCTGTACGTGTGCGTGTTCTCCGTGGACACGGCATCGAGTATTTGCTTGAGATCCGCATCCCGCTTGGTCCGCAGATAGATGATGGCCAGATTTAGATTGGCAAACAGTTTCAGGTCCCGTTCCGTCGTCTCGTTCACACACACCAGAAACTGTCGTTCGGCGTGCTCAAAGAAACTCGTCGACATCGAATACAACCCAATGAGGCAGTGCAGCTGCGCCGAGTGCCGCTTCAACAGACTCCGATGCGGCACAGCCAGGCAGACGTCGCGTGCGGCGGCTATCTCACGTATGGCCAGCTCCCGGTTGCCCATTACCATGCGGCACATCACGATATGCTCGAGCAGGATCACCTTGAAGACAGACAGAATGGGCTTGTCCTCCTGCATCTTCAGTTTCTCGATCTGTGTTAAAGCCTTCTCCGTGTACTTTTGCGCCTTGTCCATATAGCCCGCCATCATGGAGTGGGAGACGGTGACGAGGTAGACGAGCACGTACAGCTGTTCCTTGGGCAGCCACACAAACATCTCCAGTTGATTGGCCCCAAAGATGGACTCGTCCGTCGGCCAGTTGGGCGCCATTATCGTTTGTATTGACATCTGCAATTGCTTGAGGCTGGGCTTGACGGTCTTGACCTGGCCGAGGGCCAGGTAGTAGCAGACCTGCAGGACGAGGAAGAACACTTTCAGATACTCTTTCTGGTGCGGATTCGGTATGTTATTGTCGATTATTTGTCCCGCTGTATTGAGCAGCGCCAGCACATCGTTCGTTTTCCGCTCAATCATCAGGATCATGGCCCGGGAGAGCAGAAAGAGCACTTTCAGGTACGTGGCAGACGCCTCTTCGGCGGATTCAGCGCCCACGGCCAGCAGCTCGGAGGCCAGCGAGTATTCCCGATCGCTGGCATGGATCTGTGAGAGCTGCAGCAGCAGCTTGCAGTGCCAGTAGACGTTGTGCTGTGACAGCTCCACCGCCCGCCGCAGCATGGCCTTGGCCTGGTGTGAGCTCTGGTCCGTCTGCAGATGCAGTTGCGCCAAAACCGAGGCCGTGTCGAATTTCACATCGTCAAAGTTCATCAGCGGCTCCGCAATGCTCCACGCCTTCTCCAGGTGCTGTCGCGCCATGTCAATGTTTTTTGTGTACGCCATCAGGATTTGGCCCATTTGTAGGTGCGTTCGCGCCTCCACCTTCGATGGCGGCGTGAATGTGAACAGGGCCTGCAGGCACTGGATGCACTTCTTCACGTTTGGCGGCTGGGAGGTTCGAAAGTATTCGGCGAGGCCGAGCAGCGATATGTAGCAGGCGTCCTGGGACGCTGCCGCGGTACTAGTTGTACTCATTATGTCTAGTTAGCTAACAAATTCGGTTTTGTTTATTCGCCCAATTTTGTTTTGTTGTCAATTTGCACCCCTGGCTGTGAACTAGTTCGGTTCGTTTCGGAAAATGTGTCTTTTTGAGCCGAACTAGTTTGTGGAGCTAGTTCCGCAGTATGACCGCATTTAGTACGTAATTTCCCTACGTAATTAGAGATGGGCGATATTAATCGCCTTTACAATCTGGCCACACACTAATTAACACTAAATATCGTCATTCATCGCCATATTTATCGTCATTATTCCATCGCCATATTTATCGTCATTATGCCATCGCCATTCTCGGTACTAGCCCGCCAGATTTGAAATCTGGCAAACGAAGGATATATTCAAGAAGAGATTATTAAAAATCACGAAATTAAAATTAATGTTAAGCTTAATAATTTATTCTCATTAAAGTTGATTAAAGACAGCCTTTTCGGCTTGGCTAAGTTTAGAAAATTTGTTCATGAAACTTATGTATATTCGGCTTCTCCCGCTATTATTTTCATAAAATTCGTTTAATTTTTGTTTGGGAAACATTCTGACAATATCCATTGTTAGCTGTCGCCCGACTTCAGCCGATACATAAGTCTTTTTATCAAAATAATAGTTAGCGATAATTTTGAATAAGTACTTCCTGTCCCATAATGTTAAATCTTCGCCAATCGCCGCCTTTAGAGCCAGTTTATGTGACTTCATTCGAATGATGTTAAAAAGAGGAATACTTGTCAGGACAGATTTGGTAGAATTCGACATTGCCGACACAGAAGCTGAGTAGCAGATGGGAGCAGATGATGTCGACGGCAGTTGCGGCCATTCGATGGGTGCCAAGCTTGACTCCTCGTACGAGCTAGCTTTTGAAGGTACGTCTGTTCTGTCGTTATAACGACGGGGCTGATTGATCAGCGTAAGCATCTCTCGCTGCTCCTTGAAGGAAAAGTTGTCTACCGTCTGAAAAGATTAAATAAAGGCCATAAATTAGACAGTACTACACGGCTGGGCTGTACTTACGTTTAATTGTTGCGGTGGAGTCGCCTGGTTATCATCATCAACGATTTCCCCATTATCAGAATGCTCAGATGGCTATAAAAAAGTCTTTACTAATATATGATGTTTAATAAATCATCCCAGTTGGCTCACGCTTTGCTCCGTCTGCTCGTGGTAGGGCATCTTTGGAGGGGTACCTTCCCAGCTCCGCGCATAGATGCTACTGCTGGACCTCTTGGTGGGCGTAGCTTCGGGGCTCCGATCTGGCAGCAAAAATATAGTGGTTATGCCTGGCGAGCAGTCCTCTACTGCGGGTCCTCTATGGCAAGGTGTCTATAAAAGTAGTGGATCAGTATCGAAACACTATTCTGATATCCTGATATCCTTACCTTCGTGGGAATCAACGAAATGTCAATGTAATTCATTTCAAGACGCTGGGTTGGCCTGGGTTCATGGATGCGCAGTGCCCCTCCCGGCGGCACTTCAATACTGTAAATTAAATGCCACTTATTATGCACATATAAGCATGGGATATTAACTACTTACGGACAGATGTTCTTTTCGTGGCTGCTCATTTTACAATTTTTTTCTCAAAATCAACGTCTGTTTAGAAATTCACCTTAGGCTGCATGGTCAGTTCAGTGTGGAAATCTTCTGCGCAGACTCACCACACCTCACCACAGAAGGAAAGAAGAGAAGGAAGAGAACAGGAGCAAAACGAGCAAAGAAGAAGAAAAGAGGCGGCCCTAAGTCATCTGCGCTGCGATTAATTCAATTATATTTAATAAATACGGTTAAATACAACTTGTTAAGTACGTCTAATACGATAATCAAGTGCCAGTGTCAGACAATTAAATCTAAAAAGTGCCAAGCCAAATTACCAAAAGAAGTTGCAAACCAATGAAAAATTTGCCAAATTGCCCAATTGCTATTTGAGAGGAAGAAATAAGGCCTTCAACAAGAAAATCATTAAAAGAGACAAAAAGAATACAGGTGATGATCGAATTAATATTCTAAGGAAATCAATCCAATTAGTATTGCGGTAATAGAAACCGTGCGCGCCGCACACGAGAGAGACTGTGGAGAGGAGAGTCTTCTATAGTATGTGTGCGTGTGTGGTGCGTGTGTGGTGCGTGTGTGGTGCGTGTGGTCAAAAGTAGGTCAGTGCAGTGCACAGTGCCAAACGCGGTACAGTTTTCGCTAAAACTAGTGCTAACTGAATTAATTCAGTGGATATTCGTCCAATATATACCCTTCTCTGGTGGCCCATCTAATTCTCCTTCTCTCCGTCTTCTGCAACGCAACTGAATCTACCACTTGGCTGTGCCATTCATATGCCCCATGCCTCCTATGCAAATGCAAGATGTTCTGATTAAGTTTAAAGCAGCAGCCGAAAAAAAGTGCGCTGCACTGCTTCAGTACCATATTTAAGTAAAAGCGTGCCTCCTGCCTTCCCTTCCCCCCTTCCACACCTTGCCAGCGATCTCCGTTTCGTCTATGGGCCGTACCCCCATGTAACCTAAAGGCAATGGTTCACCGACACTTTTGCCAATCGGAAGATCCAATAAAATTGGATAAAATAAATGGTCTGAAATTCCAATTCAAGGGCGAAGGTCTGGCCAAAAACGTAGCAGATGTTGTTAAATTTGCCCATTTTACACATAAAAATGATATATGCCCGGATAATCTCAGATATTTTTTAACCTGCGTGTACGGGATAATGGTTAACTTAAAAACCACCTAAAATACTTGGAAATCTTTGAAAAATTAATTTAATTTAGATTACTCATAACTATTACTTTTAAGATTACTTTACACATCTGTCGTTAGATAACTCATTTGTTGGAATTATGTAAGGATTAAATTCAACATTTTTAAAATCAGAATATTCGTAACTTCAGTATCATTGATGGCCGATTCCTTTTAGTGTAATTTTAATTTCGTCCAGTCGAAGGTATAGCAATAAATAAGAGAAAATTGTAAAAATTGGTAAAATTGTTCAAATTATTTCAATTAATTTCCCGTGTAATA